CAAACAAACAAACTATTTTACAAACGAATAGTGGGATTGGTCGTAACTTATAGCGCCCCATGGATGAAAGGGTGAGCATACTTGGTGGAACAGGCAAAAAAGAAATCACAGCTGACGTTGTCACAACACTAATTCGAATAATCAATAAGTTACACAGTGAATGTGCGAGTAGGTTTTAGAAATTTGCAGATAGCTCACAGATTCGTTGTTTGTTGTGGTTTTTTTTTTTCATGTGGTATTAATAATTAAGGTTTCTTTTATTTTTCTTGTTTCTAAAAAAATTAAAATTTATCCATTGTTAAAGCCTTTCATTGTCTAAAAATCGATTCAATGTTTAGTAGCATTTCTCACATGAAATCCAGCAATTAAATTTTGTTTGTTTCGAATTAAGCACAAAGCTATACAATGGGCTATCTGTGCTCTGCCCAACTCAGGCATCGAAACCAGCTTTCTAGCGTTGTAAGTCCGCAGACATACCGCTGTACCACTGGGAAGCAGCAATTGAATAACAACTGGTTGGTTGGTTGTTAAGCACAAAGCTACACAATGGGCTATTTGTGCTCTGCCCACCATGGGTATCGAAACCCGGTTTTTAGCTTTATAAGTCTTCAGCCTTATCATTGAGTCACCGGGGGACTAAAATTCTACTACAGCAAATACAGTATTTTAACCTGCAGTTATTAAGTCTGCAACTAAAAGTTACGAAAAAAATTAAAATAATGTACAAATCCGACAATCGAAAAAAGACTGTAATGTAATAGATCTAACTTATGTGTGAAATTTTCTTTTCCTTGCAAAACGTAATTTCAGTAAAGAAGAAATAATCCGTACAAGGAACATCAAATAACAAATGTTGTGTGTTATACTAGACATATAGATTAGTAAGGGTTGGTTGGCTTTATAACACTTGTCAAGTATATCGAATAACAGGAGATAGCTATTTTCGTACAAAGCACCGAATAACAGAAGTTGGTGGGTATTGAAGAGGCAATTCAAATAACAAGCGATGATGTTTTTTGCACTAGAAATCAGATACAGTGAATAACAAGAGCAATCAGAGAGATTGGATACTCTCGTCCCGCTGCACATTTTCGAGATTGCATGCGTTTATATTGGATAACGTCAAATGTCATCTTCGAAAACTCGGAAGATCCTTCTCACATCCAGAATGATAGTAATAAGTGATGTATCTTATATCAGACACTCAGAACACTGGATAATAGTAGGTGATTTGTTTTGTATCAGACACATGGAAGACTGGATAGTAGTATGTGATGTGTTTTGTATCAGACACATGGAAGACTGGATAGTAATATGTGATGTGTTTTGTATCAGACACATGGAAGACTGGATAGTAATATGTGATGTATCTTATATCAGACACTCGGAACACTGGA